CCTTCTCTTTATAAACAATTTTGTATATTTTGACCTTGTCATTTATTGTATGATTAGACTTAAAATAACAAAGGGGAGAGAAGGTGTACAATGAGGAGCTTAGTGTCGTAGTCTCGTTACTAGTCATGCTTGTATAGAACATGTTGTTTATGATCACATATTCACGTCTTTAATGTTATATTGTTTTACTATTGTATTTTTTATTTGTACGACTGTTCGACAAAATCATGTCATTCGATATGGATCGCCTCAAAATGTAGGGTAGGGGACCAAGTAGTCATCAAACTTCCGACCAAGTATTGTTCTCTCTCTTACTCACATGTTTTTGTTTAATTTCAACTTGTTCTCAATGATTTTTGTGGACTGCATTTTCTTTAGAAACGTGGCTTGAGGCTCGAGCATACGTTAGAATTGACGGTAGATTCAATAGAGGTTGTACTAATAAGCTTGTTTGTTTGAGTGTTTGTTTGTTTTGATATGTGATGATCTCATTTTTGACAGATTCAAGAAGTTTTGTAGGCAATAATATTTTAATAGGTCTTGGGTGAATTGGAAACAACCCTGTGATTTAAAATGGACAACGGGTCTTAGCCTCAACGAAAGAAAGAAAAAAACTATTAAAAAAAAAAAGAAAAAAAGAAAAAAAGACAAGTCAAACAAAAAAGATGGGTTATTTATTTGTATTTTTGGATTCAGATGGAATGGTAGAAGAGAATCAATTGGCAGAAGAAAGAGTGATGGGAACTCAAGAAGCTCCTGAATTTCAACCTCCCTCTCAGGATTATAAGCATGCATCTCTTGTAAGTTCTTCTTCCTCCTCCTCCTCCTCCTCCTGTATCAGTATCAACTTATCTCAATATCTTCTTCTTCTTCCATGGACTTCGTCAGTATCTTCTTTTCCACAATTAATTCCCAGAGTTTTATCAAATTATAGAGATTACTTGTGAGATTATGTTCATATTAATTTCGTTTCTAAAGGGTAAAAAGAATTTTACTTTATTGTTTGTTGCTCTATCTTATATTAATTATTTAAAATTATTACATCTTTTAATACTAAGGTTAATTAAAATTATTACATCTTTTAATACTAAGGTTAATTAAAATTATTACATCTTTTAATACTAAGGTTAAATTGAGTACAAAATTAGTACATATTATTAAAAGTTAGAATTTCGTTTTTATCCTTTTATGAATAAAAAAAAAAAATTTGTAATTTATATAATATTTAAAACCATAAATATCTTGTAAATGTAAACATAAATTAAAATTAAAATAAAAGACCTAAAACGTCACTTTTATAAAATAAACAAATAAATAAATAAACAAAGCGTTGTCTTATTTAGTAGAAAAGTAGCATTAAGTCGCTTTCTATATTTTGGTTAAATAATTTATGCTCAATTCATAATTCAACCCCAATTAAATAAACAAAATAAAATATTCAATTACTTGTATCTTCAATGCTCTTTGTTTTATTTATTTATTATTTACATAATTTAAAATTAACACTCGACGCCAAATAAATAAGGTTGAAGTACTCCCTCGTTAAAGTCGACCACTAATTATTTTTTATTTGTATTATATTCTTTTAAGAAAATTAAGTCTTTTCCGTTCTTATCTAATGCATTGACTGACTACAGGAAATTCCTAATAATTTATTTTATTATTTCTATGATAATTTTTTTTAAAAAAATTAATCTCAGATGGACGAGAAACTGAAGAAAGAGAAGGCGATAGAGGACTGGCTTCCAATCACATCGTCGAGGAACGCCAAATGGTGGTACTCCGCCTTCCACAACGTGACCGCCATGGTCGGTGCCGGCGTCCTCAGCCTCCCCTCCGCCATGGCTTCACTTGGGTGGGGCCCCGGCGTGACGGTGCTGGTCATCTCATGGGTGGTGACTCTGTACACGCTGTGGCAAATGGTGGAAATGCACGAGATGGTTCCAGGGCGGCGGTTCGACAGGTACCATGAGCTGGGGCAGCACGCGTTCGGCGAGAAGCTGGGGCTTTACATTGTGGTGCCGCAGCAGCTGGTGGTGGAGGTGGGCGTCAACATCGTTTATATGGTCACTGGTGGCCAATCCTTGAAGAAATTCTATGACACCGTCTGCCCTTCTTGCACCAAAATCAAACAGACTTATTTCATTATGATCTTTGCTTCTGCCCACTTTGTCCTCTCTCACCTTCCCAATTTCAACTCCATTTCTGCCGTCTCTCTCGCCGCTGCCGTCATGTCCTTGAGGTAATCTAAATCACTGTGTCCATGATGGTCTCGATAGTTAGGAAGGAGTCCACTAATTTAGAAAATGGTCTTGAGGCACATCTTCCGAGGTCTTTTGAGTAAGCCCAAAACAAAATCACACTCAAAGTTGACACTATCATATCACTGTATAGATATGTGATTTTTAACAGAGTTATGTCTTTAACTTAGTCATATCGATAGAATCCTCAAATATCGAACAAAGAAGTTGAGACAGTGTAGTCAAAAGTGATTTAGGTGTCGAACAAAATGTGTACTTTGTTCGAGGGCTCCACAGATGGAGTCGAGCCTAGGGGAGATTGTTTGAGGGCTCGATAGGCCTCGGGGAGGTTATTGAGGATTATTGGTAGTGAGTCCCACATTGGCTAATTTAGGGAACGATCATGGGTTTATAAACAAAGAATACTATCTCCATTGGTATAAAGACTTCTAGGGAAGCCTAAAACAAAGCCATGAGAGCTTATACTCAAAGTGGACAATATCATACCATTATTGAAAGCCGTGATTTCTAACCGAGGCTCTATAGTGTACTTTATTCAAGGGAAAGATTTGTTGATTTCTAATGGTGTGGGGGTGTGTATGCAGTTACTCGACCATAGCATGGGCAGCGTCAGTGCACAAGGGGGTACAAGACGACGTGCAATACGGCTACAAAGCCCACTCAACCTCGGGCACAGTGTTCAACTTCTTCACAGCGCTGGGGGACGTAGCCTTTGCGTACGCAGGCCACAACGTGGTGCTTGAGATTCAAGCCACAATCCCTTCCACTCCTGACAAGCCCTCCAAAGGCCCCATGTGGAAAGGCGTGGTTGTGGCCTACATTGTGGTCGCCCTCTGCTACTTCCCCGTAGCCCTCATCGGCTATTGGATGTTCGGCAACGCTGTCAAAGACAACATTCTTCTTTCCCTCGAGAGGCCCGCTTGGCTGATTGCCACCGCCAACATGTTCGTGGTGGTCCATGTCATTGGGAGTTACCAGATTTACGCGATGCCCGTGTTTGACATGATCGAGACGGTGTTAGTCAAGAAACTAAACTTCAAGCCCTCTTTCCTTCTTCGCTTCGTCTCCCGCAATATATATGTTGGTGAGTCTTTGCCATTTGGGTTTATATATCGTAAATTGATGTGGGTCTTCACCAAAATTTGTTTTTGTTGGTAGGATTGACGATGTTCATAGCCATTACCTTCCCCTTCTTTGGTGGGCTGCTAGGGTTCTTTGGTGGCTTTGTTTTTGCCCCGACCACATACTTCGTAAGCTACAATAATCTTGCTCCCACCCTTTTCAAATATTCACATACTTCATGTGTTTTCATCTTCTTCTTGTCCTGCAATTTCCAGCTGCCTTGCATCATGTGGCTCGCCATTTACAAACCAAGGAAATATAGCTTGTCTTGGTGGGCTAACTGGGTATGTTCTTACTTACTTAAACCCTATCATTTTCACGCTTTGTTACGATGTGGGCTTTTTTAAAGAGTCCAACGGCTCAAGCCACTGCTAGCTAGCAGATAGTGTCTTCTTTAGACTTTTTCTTTCAAACTTTCCTTCAAGGTTTTTGTTTTTTTCTCTCTTCAGGTGTCCATATTTCTTGGAGTGCTTTTGATGATCGTAGCGCCCATTGGTGGATTGAGAACAATTATATTGCAAGCCAAGGATTACAAGTTTTACTCTTAAACATGCATGGCCAACCCTAATCTCATAATTATTATAAGCTATTTTCCTCTTAGAATCTATTTACATGCCAATGCCCAAACTTAAACAAACAAGTTGTATGGTTATTTGACTTCCTAATGTCTCTCTTCTACGATATTTCCCTCCCTTCTCCAGCATCTCCTATTTGTTGTCAACCTTGGACTTGTTGAAAATATAGTTGTAATGACAAACTCACATAGATTAAACATTAAACACGACACAAAAGGAAACAAAAGGACTAATATATATAGATGATTTATATGATTTGTAGTAGAAACATTTCAAAACCCTTGAAGAAAAGCTCAAAGAAGACAATATCCGATAGTATTGGGTTTGGGCTATTACAAAAAGTGAGATAAGAAAGGTTGTAGTGATGAAGAGGTGGGATTATCGAGATGGGAAGAAAGAAATTGATAGAATTTTGTTAGGGACTTTTAACTCTTGTGCATAGAACACGAGCTTCAAACCCAACTCTTGTACCAAATGCAAGAGTCGGGCATGGAACTTGTATACATGATACACGAGTTTGGCAACAGCATTGACAAATTTTGTTTTTCCATGTTGTTCTACCTCGGGTTAGTTACATACCTGGTGCACGATTTACCTTAGATCACAACGATTTACCTTAGATCACAACTATTAGAAGATATGTTTGTGCACATAGAATATATCTGATTTTGTACCATACTTTTTTGCAACCATAAATTACATCATTGAAAAAAAAAAAAAAAAAAATCCGATACTCGCGTATTTCACACGCTCTTTAAATTCGCGTGTAAGAAAGAACCACGTGTTGGCTATCTCTAAAGTAGAACCTACCGAGAAAGAAAAAAAAGAGACGCAAACAAATGGAGAGCCCCCCATGGCAAACCACGTGTGCCCTATCTTTCGGCAGTGCTTGACACTCCCTCATTTCCTATTGGTCTGCGGTGGTCCCCCACACCTTCCTGGGTCCCACACTTGTCGACCCATTTATTTATTTATTTTTGAATTCACCGGACAGTCTTTGTCGTTGCTTTGCTGTGTTGTTGTGTCTTTCTATCTCTCTGTATGATCATCATGAAGACTCTCTCTGTATGATCATCATGAAGACTCTCTCTGTCACTCTCGAAAACGCGCAGTTTTTGTTTTAAATTTTATTTATTATTTTATTTGTGTTCGTTATGGATGCTGGTGAAGCGGCGCGTCGGATGCTTGTCGGATCTAATTATGGTAAGCCGATTATCAATCCCATAACGATGAGATTCCGACCGATCGCGCCGAAGCCTGTCGCCGGAGCCTCTGTTTCCGGCGACACCTCATCGATATTCAACGGAAGGAGGAAGAGGAAGTACGTTAGGGTTCAGGGGTATAATAGGAAGAAGAAAACTACAAGATCAAACACCACCGAGGCCGCCGCGACGACGCTGCAACTTCTCCCGGAACGACACGTGGAGATCTTCGGAAGCGGATCTCGGGAGGTGGGGTTGGTATCAGATGGGAAGCGTGGAGCGGCGGCGGAGGAGGTGTGGGTGACGGTAGAATGCGCGAGGGAGGCGTGCATTGAGGGAGAGGAGGAGGAGGAGAGGATGAAGAAGCTAGAAGAGGACACGTGTCCAGGGTTCGTATCGGACGGTGTGGATAGAGTAGAGTGGGTAAACGAGGCGTTGAAAAGAATGGTGAGGCAAAGGCGGAGAAGCAGTGAGGCAGGTGAGGAAATAGAGGTAAGGCTGAGAACAATGCCAAGATTGGGTTACTTGGGGAGAGCATTCACGTGCCAAATAAAGCTGCACTTCAATGCTGGTACTACCGGACACCCAAAACTTCAGGTACTCGTATCATATTATTCACTTTGAACGTAAGCTTTTATAACTTTGTTTTTGTTTTCATCTTATTAATTAGTTGGGTAATTTCCTCCCAATAATACTCGTTTGGGTTTAGAATATGGATACTAATGATGAACGATGAATGATGAATGATTTTGTAGGCGGAGGGTAAGTGAAAGTCAACCAACAACAGCCGCATTGAGCCATGGATGGAATCATCGCTCAATTCAAACAAACTGTAACATATATTAAATGTGCTTGAATCAGTTTGACGCGTCTTTTTGTTTTTTTTTCGTTAAAAAAATCATTTTTAAAATGACGCTCGCCTATGATGTGACACATTCGCTCAGACTATAAAGATTAAGGATAACGACCCTCCACAATAATATAATATTGTTCACTTTAAGCATAAGCTCTCGTATAGTTTACTTATAAACTTATAATTATTCCCTAAATTAACTAAAGTGAGACTCATCCTCCAACGCTCCTCAACAATCCTCAATAATAGGCTCTAGGAGGCAAACTATCACGGTCATACTTTTTCAACCATGCGGTCGTGATCTTGACATGCTCACGATAAGTCTTAAGGGGGACTGAAGCTCCATTCACGTTCTTCGGGTATATATATATATATATATAATTAGGCCACAAAAATAATAAATATTTAGCATTTTAAAAGTACCCAATATTGGTTGTGACGTTTTGATAATTTTGATAGGCGAGAATATAGTTAAAAAATGATGCAGCTTTGTGCATATCAAAAGAAAGAAAAAAACAGTGCACCTTTGCGACTGTGCTGCGAGTCCTGAAGAAATTGGTGGCCATCTTCTGGAGACAACTCCTAATTGAGTGAGAAAATGCCTGGATTAATTGCTCCTTCAGATTACTCTCAAGAACCACCTCGCCACCCATGTCTTCGAATCAACGCCAAGGCAAGCTTTCTCCTTTATCTCTCATTTTTGTTTCCCAGATCATTTTTCTTTTCCGTCGGAATCTCGATCGTTTTCGTATAGTATCGATATCTGATTTATTCTCGGATTTATCGTCATTTTGATTGTTTCTGGATCATTCATTTCGTTTTCTTTAAATTTGTTGAAGCGAGTACTTTCGAATGATCCGTTCTCCGATTTCGTGTTGTTTTCTATGTAAATTGTGCCTTCTTATTGTCTTCCTTGTATACGAGTGGTTAGATGCACTTGTTGAAGCTCCAGCAGGTGTTTGGCTGTATGTGTTCTTGTGATTTAAGATCCTCTTTGAACTAAGGTGTTTAAACGTTGTCTAATACTTCAATTATAAGAATTATGGTACCAAAAAGTAATTATTTGGAGGGGTGTGTTCGCCATCGGTGCTGAAATGAGAGTACATGGTATGATTCAATCTGAGCGGGAGGGTGTGCTTGTTGAGGATTGTTGGTGGGCAGTCCCACATCGGCTAGTTACGGCGATGATCATGGGATTATAAGTAAGGAATTCATCTTCATTGATATGAGGCCTCTTGGGGAACCAAAAGCAAAGTCATGAGAGTTTATGCTCAAAGTGGATAATGTCATACCATTGTGGAGGATCGTGATTCCTAAAAGCACTTTTTTATTGGCTATATTATTTCTCCGATGTGTAATGAATTATTGTGCTAATCTTTTCCCCCATGTTATGTTTGGCACAGGAGCCCTTCAATGCAGAGCCACCGCGTTCAGTCCTGATTTCGTCTTATGTGACCCCTGTAGATTTCTTTTACAAGAGAAATCATGGTCCTATTCCATTAGTGGATAATATTGAAAGGTTTTCTTCTTCCTCCTTTTTATTGTAAATGTTCTTATCTCTTTCCTTTCAATTACTAATACCTTTTCTTTTACATTGTAGATATTCTGTCTCTTTAAATGGCCTAATAGAAAACCCAAAGGAACTGTTTATGAAAGATATCAGGTGAGCCATGGTATTTTGGATCTAAACGTGTAACCGCCCAAGCCACCACTAATAGATATCATCCGTTTTGGCCCGTTACATGTCACTGTCAGCCTTACAGTTTTAAAACGCTGCTAGCAGTGGGTTTGGGTTTGGGTTTGGGTGGTTACAAAATGAGCTTTCCTTTTTCTTTATGAAGATACCGCGTAGAGAAAGTTTTTGAATTAATATGCGTTCAATAATGTGACAGGATGCTTCCGAAGTATAATGTCACTGCCACTTTACAGGTATTCTCATAGTTGGCATAAGTTGTTAGCATTTCTTCTTTGCCTGGTATTGAAATATCTGACTCCAAATCTACAGGTTTAGTAGTAGTTTCCATTATGTGGTGGATTAGATAATTTGACACTATTTGGCTTGCATGGACAGTGCGCTGGTAATCGAAGGACAGCCATGAGCAAAACCAGAACAGTGAAGGGAGTTGGCTGGGATGTTTCTGCTCTAGGAAATGGTATGTGACATGCATGGCTAGTGCTTTAGATGTTTCAGCTGATAGAATTCATCTTTTGAAAATGTGTTTCGAACCTTACAGCTGTCTGGGGTGGTGCCAAATTGGCCGATGTTCTTGAACTTGTTGGTATACCTAAGTTCAGCTACAGTACAAAAAAAGGTGGAAAACATGTTGAGTTTGTGAGCATTGATAGGTGCAAGGTACAACGTTGTCCCATTTAGGTGCTCATTTCCAAACAATTTGTGGAACGAGAGTATCTTTTTCTTGACTTTCCTAAAGTTCGAAGGAATTTTGTGTAGATATAAAGGAATGATTTTGGTTTCTATGGTTAACTACAGGAAGAAAATGGAGGTCCATACAAGGCATCAATTCCACTAGGCCAAGCTTCAAATCCTGAAGCAGATGTCTTGCTTGCTTACGAAATGAATGGAGAAGTAAGTAATGTTGCATTAAAGAAGTTAAAAGTACATTTTTACATACTGAAATACTTGCCATATTAAACTATCAACTTGTGAGATCCCACCTCGGTTGGAGAGGGGAACAAAAGATTCTTTGTAATGATGTGGAAACTTCTCTCTAGCAGACACGTTTTAAAACCTTGAGGGGGGGAAGGGAAAGCCCAAAGAGGACAATATTTGCTAGCAGTGGGTTTAGGCGGTTACAAATGGTACTAGAGCCAGACACCAGGTGATGTGCCAACAAGGAGGTTGAACCCCGAAGTGGGGTGGACACCAAGTTGTGTGCCAGCGAGGTTGCTGGATCCCGAAGGGTGGTGGATTGTGAGATCCCACATCGGTTGGAGAGGGGAACGAAGCATTGTTTATAAGGGTGTGGAAACCTCTCCCAAACAGACACGTTTTAAAACCTTGATGGGAAGCTCGGAAGGGAAAGTCCAAAGAAGACAATATTTGCTAGCGGAATGCTTGGGTTGTTACAAAACTTCTCACGTGTCCAGCTAAAGTCTGAATATATGATTGCATAACAATGAATGAACATTACATTTTACAGTTTCCATTGAGTGCTTTACACAATCCTTGCAATAAATTGTGCATCACATCAATCTAGATTTGAGGCCCTTTCTCTTTTACCCTTTGGATCCCTAAGCCTAAATCTAAGGGTAAAAAAGAAAGGGCCTCAATCCCTAAGGCCTTTATGCTGGGTTTCTCCCTTTTTTGATGCCTATATTCCTTCTGATGTTGAGTAATCACTGCATTGTTATTATAATAAGGGTTGAAGGGGCGGGATGAGTTTAACTTCTTAATGTTATGATGTTACGTTGCTTATTGTGCTACTCTGCTATACTTAATATTCTCTACTTTTTCACAAAAGCCTCTTAACAGGGATCATGGGTATCCATTGCGTGTGGTTGTCCCAGGTGTTATTGGTGCTCGCTCTGTTAAATGGCTTGATTCTATAAGCATAATTGCAGAGGAATGCCAGGTACAAAGTATAAAAATATGATTTTTTTTTTCTCTCTTTTTTTATGAAAACTACCTTCCTTTGTTATTGACTTGCAGGGTTTCTTTATGCAAAAAGACTACAAAATGTTTCCTCCTTCCATAAATTGGGATAACATTGATTGGTCGACAAGGAGGCCTCAAATGGATTTTCCTGTTCAGGTTTTTGTGCTCTTTTTCCTCCATTTTTGTGTTGCTATTGTAGCTGTTCTTAGTTTCCTCCATTTTTGTGTCTCAATTCATGCTGTTGAACTTGGTGACTTGCAGTGTGTCATATGTTCTTTGGAGGATGTAGATCATATAAAGCCCGGAAAGGTTAGTTCATTTACGTAAGTTTAATGTTTAATGAAAGATATAAAATATAGATGATCTATGCAGAAGATACCTATAATAGATCTAAGAGCCTCCAATCATCTGCATTTCTTCTTCCAGGTTAATTTGTAAGTTTGTGGAGACACTGTTCTACCTGCATATTTATAATCATCTGCATTTGTTTCTTCTCTTATTTTGTCCGCTGCTGGTATAATGGTGTTGGGATACCTACTCAAACAAGCAAATATGGATGTGATCTTCTAATGTATGTCAGGTCACAGTTAGTGGCTATGCAGTGTCCGGAGGTGGACGCGGAATAGAGAGAGTAGATGTATCCGTTGATGGGGGCAAAACTTTTGTTGAAGCCACCAGATATCAGAAGATTGGTGCCCCTTATGTCGCTGATAGTCCGAGCAGCCACAAATGGGCATGGGTGTTCTTCGAGGTCACGGTTGATGTTCGGCAAAACACCGAAATTGTTGCGAAAGCTGTAAGTCTCTATTTGTGTTGATCCATGGAAATATGTAACTAGATTGTGAAGACTGCTGAAGTAGATTCAAAGCTTTTGAGCTGATTTGAGTTCCTTAACTTGTGCAGGTTGATTCATCAGCTAACGTGCAACCGGAAAAAGTGGAAGACGTATGGAACTTAAGAGGTATACTGAACACGTCTTGGCATCGAGTTCAAGTTCGAGTTGGTCGTTCGAATATATAGAAGAGGTGAAGGATATACCCCAAAACTCAAAAAACTGTATCATCTGCCCATTTCGTCCGAAAAAACAAAATGCTGTGCAGCATAAACTTTTTCTTCTGCCAAACTCCACTATGCTTGGATTTTGATTTTCCATTTGAAATGCGAATAAGAAAATGGAATGTGCTTACATTGATGAAGAATATACTTCCTTCAAGTGTGCTTGTAAATCATTTTAGAATTTACAACATGACCTTTACAAGTATCATGAAATAATTAAACTTCAACACATACTATTTTTGAAGTCATAACAAACCTACTCTTGGACTCTAACACAGAAGTCCAGAAATTTTTTGTGCATGAAACATACTCTTGATGACCCTGTTCCTACTTTGTCTATTGTGGCTTATTCGAACAGCGTCCAACGAGGCATTCGATGGCGTTTCAGTTCTGTTTCAACAACGTTTGGATGCATTCCTATTTCTTCAGCTTCATCAGATGGTTGCCCTGCTTCTGTTGCTCATTTTGTTTGATTACTTTCTGTCCAATCAAAACAGTGGATGAATTGGGTATTTTGATGATGAAATGGTTGGCGCTCATCTGCTATCGGCAGGCAGTGAGGCAGTTATCCGGGAGCTTCCTCTGGAGAGACCTCTAACGAAGGACCACAGATAACAAACCCCTGAAGTCAAATAACTAATAGACAGTATACATACAAGATGGCAAATGTATGGATGGAGTAGTTATATGTAAATGTCGTGAATATTAACCTTTGTGAAAGATAATCTTGAAAATAGGTCCTTGGGCATAATTCTTACAGAATATCCACAAAAGAGATTACAAGTAAACCAAATAGCAATCCCACTATTGGAATGAATAAAAAAGAAAAACTACAGAAAAGGTTAGAAATATGAACTACAAAGGTGTTTAAGTATACAATATCTCAAGCCTCCTCCACGATAGAAATTTTTTTCAATATCTTTCCCATCAAGTCAAATGTTCCACAAAATGGGAACGGAATCAAATGAAAACTCGATTTCTTTCTTAAAATAAAATGAAAATGAAGAAATCAACTTGCCACAAATAGATCTTACGAGGATCCAATCCAAGATAACTTCATTATCGTACAACTCAAACCCGAAACCAAACCTACAAAAGAAAACACAGGTATTCACCTTAGTAGTTAGTAGCATAACGGCCCAGCCGCGAGACAGGACAACTTTAATCTTTCTACGCGCTTGCATAGAAACACACTTGTTGGGGCTATATATAGATAAAAAGAGGCTTTCTGAAAATAGTCTAACGTGTTAGTTCAACATTGAGAAGAATTACAAGAAAAAAAAAATTAAATATTCTCCAGAATCTTCTACTTGAAGGCTCATAGGTGACCGACGAAGGTAACATCAACCAGACATGCAGACTTAGAAATGAAAAATCCATAAGGTACTGGATGAATAACTTCTAAAGCACTCAAACTCACCCGTTTATTGATTTCTCAAGGTTCTGGATATACCTGAAAATTCCACATAAACGAAATAAATATCTAAATGTTGCACACATGGGGTGTAAGGCATTCTTCCAGATCTCAAAATGGAAGACAGTGACAATTGCTTTAAATCCCGCTTGTCATTTAGTCCACGCTCAGCCCACCGGCTTACCTTCTATGTCATTGTTAAGTAAAAAACTTCATAGTGATAAGCTCCCAAATTGCTTGTTCCATTCATCATACGTACCAAGTTCGCTTAAAGAAACAGAGGGCCTGACCTCTTGCATTGCGTTCTCAAAGTCCTACAAAAATAAGCCAGAAAGAAACAAAGGATAATAAATCGGAGGAAGTAAACATAACTATACTTGAACTATTAAAATCCCACCTTAAGGGTTACAGGCCGCATATCTTCCTTTTTAAGCAATGTAATATCTGTGCCTTGTTTCAGAGCCTCCCTTAAAGGGCCCATTGAAGCGTCTTTCACAAGGTTTTTCATGTCTGAACCCGAATATCCTGATAATGCAAATTTTCCAGCAAGATATCATGGAGAAAATCAATGGCGGATATTTTGCATTCAGTCCTATGTAACATTGTGAAGCCAATAATTTTGTTCTAAGCTTTGCGAGGTTGCTACTACCTTCAGATAAAGTACATATCGTATCAATTTCCTCTTTAGAAAGCTTGAACAACCCATCCTTCTCCAGGAGATTACGCACAATCCATGCTCTTGCTTCTATATTGCCAATATAACAAGTTAGCCATGAGCTAAGAGCATCAGGCGCATTTAGTTACCATGGCTAAAATCACGACTTGTACCTGAAGAAGGGAGGGGAATGTAAAGTCTTTTGGTCAGTCGTCTCCTTGCAGCTTCATCAAGTTCTTGTGGTCGATTAGTCGCTCCTGGATAAGTTGAATATCTTTAAATATGTGCACAATTGCTTTCAAATTGTGTGATAAGGACATTATCAAGCTAGAAGGATTTGAAGATGAACATTGTACCACAAGGTAAAAATTGAAGAGAAATCGTGTCAACTTTCAGGCTTGTACATAAAAAAATAATAATAATAAATAAATAAATAAATAAAGATTCAGAACATCACTTTTGATAGTTTCGGAAATTGCACTAATCGTTACCTATATTTTTACATGGACTTACTCATTGTACATTGTTTTTGGCATTTCCAGAATTTTCAAGAAAAAAAACTCAACTTCAATCAATTAAATCACAAGGAAATTAATGCCAGCATTTTCAATCTCGAATCTATTTCCTAGGGAATCTGAAGAGTAGGAAGTATAAAGTATCTTCATATTGTAAACCATTATTGATCTAGTCATAATACTAACTACTTTCTTTCACAAGATGATTAACGATGGGAAAATTATTTACATGGAACCATAAGCAATTTTTAAAAAAATGAAGAAACATTACCTATAAGAAGAATTTGCTCGCTGCCATTATCAAAGCCCTCCATTTCAATAAGGAACTGTGTTTTGAGTCGTCTACTTGATTCATGTTCACCTTCAGATTTTCGCTACAAATGGAATAAAATTCCACAAGTGATAAAAGAATATATGAACTGATCATAAAGCAACATGCCTAGTCTTTTGCTTAACAAACTTGCTTAATGATCAGCATTGTTATCCGAACTGAGAAGAAATTCAAGCATGTAGACGATTATAAGAAGTCTACCTGAGACAGAAGAGAATCAATTTCATCAACAAAGATGACAGCCGGCTGACGACAACTGGCAACACCAAAGAGGGCCCTCACTAGCTTTTCACCCTCGCCAATCTAGATTTACCAATTAAAAAGTTAATATTTGACACGCATTACACATATTTTCAAGCAAACTAACCGGCTGTTTGGAAGTTGCTTTGCAAAATAGTTCTCTATTTTTTTAGAGCAAAAACTCAGTAAAAATAGATCTTGGGGAATTGTTTTCAAAAGTTTGTTTTCATTAATAGACTCTAAATAGTAGTTTTGAATGCACGATAACCTTAATCTTTGCAACTATCCAATATAGTTCTTATAGAAGCAGAAATTAATTTCAGACCAGTTCTCAAACAACCTATAAACTATTGGGAAGTATTATCATTACTAATTTTTTTACATCAATCTATGAAAAAGTAGTAAGGCGATAAAGTAGTAAAAAATTCAATATTCCTAAAAGGAATGGTTCCGAAATGGCAAAGAGAAGCCTAGTTTCAATTAAAATCTAATGATTGCTTCAACAAGCTAACTAAAAACCATCTTTGAAACATTAAGATCAATCAATATTTTCTCGCGAGTCTAAGAATATTCATAACTCTTAATAAATAATGCTAATCACATTAGTACTCACCCACTTGCTTGTTAATGAGCTGGCAGATATATAAAAGAAAGTTGCTTTTGCCTCTCCAGCAATTGCTTTTCCGATCATTGTTTTGCCTGTTCCCTGAAAGAAAATGGTATATTATAAAACAGAATTTCCGTATTGATTATTCATGGAGTTATAAACTTACCGGTGGACCAAAAAGAAGGAGACCTCTTCCAGGAGAACGGCAACCTTTGAAAATGTCGGGACGTAATAAAGGCCATATTACCATTTCAGTTACACACTTTTTTGCATGTTCTAGACCAGCTATATATTGTCGTGCAACGAGTTCAAATCAGCACAATTCTGTAACCAACATAACTGTATTGAACAATGAAAGAACGAAACACCTTGTTTTACCTATGTCGTCCCACCTAACATTAGGGTCCCTGTCCATAATCTCATTGCTAATATGTTCTATAAGTCGAGGCTCCAAATTCCTTAATTTTTCAGGAAGTTCACCATCAGGTCCGCACAACATATCCAAACTAGTATACAACATGAAGCGTGTCAGAATCTGAATAGTCACAGGAAGCAACTTATAATTCTTCAGTCACATCTAAAGAATTTCCTGAATGCATTTTGTAAACCGTTGGAAAGTTCAATAACAAAAGTTATAGTAACTATCTTATATCGTGTAGAAGAATTAACAATTCCAAGAAGATAAGCCAACTACCAAAAACCATACATAAAAAGCAGAATCGGACGAAGCATAGCAACAATTGGCAGGCCTTAGGGCATAGTACATGGAACAGTAACAGACCCCAAAAGCTAAACAGAAATACACCATTTGAACCCATTAGTTTGTCTAGATACTGCTAAAGCATGGTGACGAGTACTTAGAGATGGTTTGGAGAAGTAACAAGATATAAACAAAGTTGAGAACTCTCGTCAGTAAATTTAGATCTTGTGCCCAAACTATTTACCATCTCTTTGTTGAGTCATCCAGAGCATCTTCACCTTTTCCACCAACACGTGAATTTACCATGTTCCCAGCATTCCCCCCATTAGACCTAATAGGAGGTACAAAATTCCCACGCACTCCACGGCGTGAAGAGCCATAGGATCGCATTCCATATCCTTTATGGGAAACATTATTATCACTCTGAGGGGAGACAGAAGTATTTGGTGATCCTGCAAGTCCTCGTCTTTGCCTTGCATCCATTTCCTAGCAGTGAAGAACATACAATGCCTTCAAAAACTATTGGTAAATTAATAAACAAATAAAAAGGGCCAAGGGAAGAACGCAAAAATCCCTTAGCTCAGGCTAGGTAAAAAATGCAAGAATCACTTAGCTACTATACAAACGATTCTTTAAGTCGATAAATTTTTAGTGGTAAGTTACTTTACAGTCGGGATATTGGCTGGCTTAAGTCTTCTTGAAACGAGTTCACTTTCTCTGATTCTGAAGTAGCTTTTTTTTTTTATAAAAACTATGCACCGGCAGTAACTGCGGATAAAAAGATATACCAGTTTTGTTCTTGCAGTGACAAATGCATTGCCAGAAGAATCAGCATTAGCTTCTTCGGTACTCAATGGTGAGTTGGCATTGTCTACCTTAGGACTACTGATTTCCATCCGAGCACGTCTTGTAGCAACCATACTTCCATAAGTCCGCCCTTCCTCTTCAAATTTCATTAAAGATGTACCTTGGTCTTTTGTATGATCATAAAGTGAAGGATTCTTTTCTACAATAATACAGTCATCAAGGGCATTACTTGCATTCAAAGAACTCCTGTACAGACTAGGACTTGTTCTGCTTTGATCTTTTCTATACAAGGATGTACCCTTTGCTTCTGCAGTGATTTTTGGTGCCTTGGTACTGAACTTATCCGCCCTCTCCAGCGAATCCTGAGAAGAAATAGTATGATGAGCACTCAAAACACTCTGATGTGAATAATCTGATAACAAAATTTTCAATAGTCCAAGAAAAATAAATGAATAGAGTTTTTCGATGAATGTCAGTTACCAATTCATTTACAACTGTTCTATTTGATCCCTGAAGGGCCTGAAAGTGTTTCGACTGCTTAATCTTGCTGAAATCCATTTCTTTGCTCATGCTAAAAACGCATCCCGGAGCTTTCTTTGCTTGTTCAAATACTTGTCTGAAAGCAACATATAAATGATGCAATAGCCAAATTGGAATTAGTACGGGATAGTACTCAGCCTGAAATGTTCACGTCTCCAAAGATCCAAATATCAGAATATTTAATGAGATATCTTACAGTAACCGAAAATGCTGTTATCTACTAATTAATAGCCAACTAACTCATTGTGTATATTATCCCCACATTGTTGATATCAAAATGGAAAAAGCCCTCGTAATTTATGCACTTGGAATTGTGGATGTTTGTCGTTCGCTACATAAAAATTTAAAAATGTCAGTCACTTAGCCAATTTTATCGACAATCCATGGTTATGATACCTTCAACAGCTCCATTCAAACCTTAAATGCTGTATTTCCTACCATTACCCACACGGCCTGAACAAAGGATCGGAAATTCATATATATTTTTCCTCTCTATGAGTGCTTCTCTGCTCCAATTTAAAACTATGATTGTATCTTCTAAACTGGCGACTGAGCTGTGTCAATTCCAGCAAAGATTCGAAGTTATCGGAAGTATGGACCAGTTACAGTCCACTGATTTAGTTTTCTGAATAATTAAGTTATTAGGGCAAGTGAGCTTCAACTCAGATAAAGCAATAGTTCATACTCATTTCCTAGCGCTCAATTTCATTCCTTCCACTAGAGGGGGGGAAGAGATAATGTACGTGCATTTAACATTCATACCGATCGGATTCCGGCATGAGGGATCGGCGAGCGACATTAATTTTCTCAACGACTTCGCGCCTAATGGGCTGGATAAAAGCTTGATCAACATCGGTACGAGTCTGAGAGTCGAGAAATCCAAGAAGACGGAGACCAAGAAGTTGAGCCGCAGAGTAATCGCCTTTTTCGAGGGCCAAATCGACGCCGAAGAGGAGCGATTGAAGCCTCTTCAGATTCTGGTCCACTTGTTTTCTCCAGCATGCCTCCTCCTGCTGGGATTCACCGATTTGTTCTTTGGATAGAGAAGACGAGCGCGTTGAGCTCTGCTTGGACTGAAATTCCTCTTTTCCCGCCATTCTCGTTTTTAGCTCCGTGGCTCGCGGGCCTGATTGAATATATATATTGATGGTTTCAAAATTTCGTCTCAACTTGGTCTGACCTGATTTTCATCCATCGTAACTCGCAACTCGGGTTAACTTAAAAATAAAAATAATTGCATATAAACTAGTTTTTTTTTTTTTTTTTTTTTTTTTTTA